AATACCAACACCCATGCAAACGAAATACGAAGGATCGAACACGGGGGAAAAACTTATGCACTATCAATATATATATATATATATATATATATATATATATATTTCATTGCCATTTTTGCCAGCTTCAAATTGGCCATACATCCCTCATGCATTTTATGTGTGATAAGCTTTTCTGTTAGCTACTCAAAACTGAATTTGCAAACTACTTACAGAGTTTCCTACCACCCAATCAATGACTAATTCACTTCCGCTCAATTATGTATATCTTACTACTGAGACCGAGTTAGTTGGAATACGAACTTCCGCTCATACGTGAGATGTGCAAGTAGCCAGTGGGGTCCACGAGCTCAATGTTCATGTGTTCAAAAATTTCACAGTATCTGCAGCAATGGATTTTCATATCAAATGAAAAGGCACCTTTTTTCAACTTTACATCGGGAAGCATTAACATCGAAGGATAGGTCGCTTTTTTATTATAGAAGTCGCCGGCTAGGTTACTCTGATCCTTCTACCTCTTTTTTTTTCTGGATGAGCCCACTTTGCTGATCCACAACGAACTAAAGCTTTTATAGCCTTACTTTGTTGCATTCTTTGATTCTAGTGACTTTCAATATTAGCAAACTGCATATACAGACAGACAAGTAGGGCTCTCGCAACTTTCAATACAAAGATTCTTTCGCATAATTCGTGATCACATTTCAAAAAAAATTTATTATCTACTTCAACATTGAACATTGAAGTGAACAAACGAAAGTTTCAATAAGGAAGGCCATACCTTTGCTAGCTCAATTCAACGGGGCAATTGAAGAAACATATTGAAACACATCATTAACTAGAAACAACTAGAATACATCGGATTCCAACTGAACCAGCTGAAGCCATACTGCTGCTGAGCTGAGCGTTAACAAATTACATAATTGCGACAACAGTATAGTTCGTTTTTATCGTAGGACATGCCAGAACAAATCCTTGGTGACACCCTTTTGGTACAATTCGCATATTACAACGTCGTCATGGGTGAAAATGAAGTTGGAGGGAACCGCTTTACTGTACAATACCACTCTTTGAAGGGCTGGGGCGTACGGAGGATGCGGCGCTGGCTTCGCGAGCCTGTGGGGGTGTATAAAAACACCCAAGAGTCAGGTGAATAAAATTTTTGTCTACACCTAGGAAAGTGGGAAGCAAATTGTAGAATGCGGCCCCATGCAGAAAGTTGGAATGCTGAGAGAGTGCAGGCAATGTCGTAAAAATGCGCACCCCAACTACATTTCCAGCTCGTCTTGATATAAGCACAACATGCAAAAAATAAGAAAAACTGCGGATCTGGGTCTGGAGAGAGTTGAAATTACTTATCTCCATAGCCAAGGCGATCCCAATCGTCCTTCTCCATAAGGCCATGATCCATTCGGCATTGAAAGTATGCTTTTGCTACATCACGGCACTCACGGTTCAAATGCTTGTTCTCATGTAAACAGCACATGTACCTATAGAAACCTGTTAGGTTACATTAACGAAGATTGTCACTTTAAACGAAGATAGAATTCCGCTTTCCACGATCTTGATATAATTCAATCTCATCCTTTTATGATTTCTTAACGACTTTCAATCAACTCAACACTAAAGTCTAACTGAAGTTAAAGATGACTAATAAGAATGTGCTGATTTGATTGCCCTGTTCAAGGTCACTACAGTAAACGGTGTCGCTATGTGTGAGATTATCTTTCCATATATAATTGGCCACGAGTGTCTGTTGGTTTGTCGGTGCGTGTGTGTTTGGCCGACAATTCGTCACTCTTGTCTCTGGACTTGGAGCGTTAAAATGTGGAAGGATTACAGGCAACAGGACGGAAACACTGATGGAAAGTGACAGGAAGGGAGAACTATTGACAGGAGCTGATAACGAACCTTAGATGGAAGGAGCTGCAGGATCTGTCCTCCTTCGTGTTAACGATGGAGCCATGACACTTTAGGCGGTGTGGGTTGGGAAGGATCGTAGATGTTGTTCGTTAACAGGAATTGATATGAACTGATCAGGACTGATAACGAGAAGAAGGCGAGAGCTAGTGGCCCTTCGTACTAACAGTGGAAATTTGGCACTTTATCAGGTGTATGGGATGTGATGGGACCGTTGGCGATTGGTGACAAAGACTAATGCAATCGGTAAGGCCTGGCAAAGGGGCATAGAAAGCTAGAGCCACTAGGCCTGCAACGCCCTTTGTGTTAACAGTGGACCTTGGTATTTCAATAGGATGTGTCGGGGTCCTAGATACTCGGTGACAGCAGCTGATAACAACTGATAAAAACTAATAAGATGCATTAGAGAGCTAGAGCCACTTACCGCTCAAATCCGAACGCCTTGGGCATTTACGATCTCGCTTTGACTATCTGATATAGTTCATTCGATGGACGGGTAAGTGCAGAAGGGACCGATCAAAGGCACAACAAAATAAGGAGATTGAAATTAGGTTCATTTATTACTATTAGATTATGACCGCTACCCGACGAGGTTTGTACTCAATGTTGTTTCGATATCACTTGGACAAAACTTATCGGACCGCCAATAATCTGGGATTCTTAACTAGCGATATGTGCGTAGGAAAAGGAAAAGGGTTCATTGATAACGAGCATCTGATAATGGTGTTATTATCACTAGACAACATTTGTGAGTGCCATTCAAGGTTTTGGTAGCTTAACAGTTTAATACTTAATGGGTGACTATTTTTAGGACAAGGAGCATTAGATCGATACATCCAATCATACGCATAAGCATCGGCATACATTGTATACCGTTCACATTGTCCTGCCAGTCCGAAGTCGAATTTCATATCAGAAAGGTATCATATGTTCCAAAAAGTAGCGACCGGTTAATCGACTGTTACAATTCTGCCATAAGTAGGAGGAAAGCTCGGCGTTAGCTGGATGATCCGACTGGTCTTATAATAAAGCAAAATAAATCTGGGAGTAATGCAGTGAAAGGTTGAGCTATAATGTCAATGAGGGCGAAATTAGTTCCTAATGAAAATATGGTTCAGTTGGTAGTTTAATTAAGGTACACAACACAAATTGGCCGAATGTAACAAATCGATGAACATTAACATCAAGACCAATGTGTGCCGTAGTGATGCAAAAAATACAGTAGAAGGCAAAACGAAAGCTTAACCCATGGCGGCCATGCGTCCCGATGCCAGAACGCAAGTTTTTGGCTCGCTGGGGATTTGTATTATTTATCAGGTGCTTATTCAAAAAAAAAANNNNAAAAAAAAACCTGAAAACTATACCCGCGCACAAAGCAAAACCTACTTCAGCATTTCAAGCTTGCATGTTCCATCATGATCCAGTGGAAATGAGCCCTTTAAAGGTGGCGAAACGGTCTGCACTCGGTTGAATGGTCCGGCTTGAGACATGCGAAAATCTGTAATAAATCGAATAGTTCCCTCCATTTACGTAATGCCAGAGGAAGACTTGCGTAGTCCCTTTCTATCCAGAGACATTTTTGAGTGAAATAGGAACAAAAAAGAAACAAAAACGCTAAAAACTATTATATCCTTTAGAACTACTAGCTTTCCAGTCAGGAATTTGCTGGAATGCAACTAATTTACTTTAAATGAAGGCGCATCTTCGCCAGAAGTGCTTATTTTGGTGAACTCAGATTCTAAAAAATGTTTTATTGCACAAATGTGTGAGTCTAGCTTGCCTATAAATTTCTACTGCAGACATAATTTTTAGAAAGCTTTCACTGAATAAACAGGTAAGTAATAACCGATTAATGATGCCATACAAATGCAAAGCGGTGTAAAATACCCTCGTGGCATCTCATAAACTCCTTGAAAATTCATGGATTCTAAGAAGTTTCTGCACCACTAGTACTATGTGAAAGAGCATGCAATGATTACACCTAACTCTCCGCAATCTTGCAACATTTTTGCATTAGATGGATCTTATGTATACAATGGCTATCAAGAACAACTGCTCGTCCGAGTATTTTTTACATCAACAGCGACACTTAACGTAAAAATACGTTAAGTAATCAGCACTGTTTCGAGAATATACTTGGTTTCTCCTACCCAACTCACTAAACGCCACCACCTAAAACATTAGACTAACATATACTACAATGCAAACTTGGAATTGCTCGTCCAATGAATAATTCATAGTTCAGTAAGCTTGCTTTACTGCAGAGGGAGTTGACGCAAATGAAACGAATTCAGTCAACACAAATTTATTTCTATCGGAGTTCAAAGCTTATATCGAACTTTGATTCATTAAACTCTGAGCAAAGTGAAATTTGATAACTGGAAAAAAGGGATTAAGTAACCTCACAATTTCTCACTTTGCAAAATCTGAGCACTACTTTCCGATTTTCTTGATTTCCTCAACATTGCTGTCAGACGGAATTTCGAATTCATTTGCTCGGGATTTCTCAACGAGATCAACCTCTTCAAACTCTGACTTGGTTAACAACGGAAAAGCTGCTCCCTAAGCCTTCAATTTTTTTCGGATTCTGGGATAATATCAGGGAAAAGTAATATTCCCAACAAAGCCATATATACAGGCCTGCGAGGAATTTCAAAGTATTAGACCAACAACAAGTATGCTACTGAACCTGCTCCCTGCGAAGATGAGTAATGCTGTGCTGACGCTGCGTATCATAGTTTCAAGCTGCAAAACGACAAAAAACACTCGAAACCTTAGATGGGCTGGAACCGCGACTGGGCTTTATAGCTCACTGCAAAATTTCACTAAATTGTAGATGCTTTCGATTTTTTCGCATCTCAAATACTTGGTTGGCAAAAAAGTTCTGCGTCAAAAAATTTCTATAAACAATGTGAGCACGATGGGAAGAGTGACAAACTTTCAGGTCATTCCCTGGTGAATCAATTCATACCTAAGCAAAGGTACGCATGTGGACCTTCGCAACTTCACCATCAGTGAATGACAACACCAATTCGTATCTTCATATTCAATTGGGCACGTCGAGGAAACAACGCACGTGCAACTGGTGAGAATTAGCGACCTATATGCGGTATCTATTCACCCATCATCGGTCAACAAATGGTTGAACCGCTTTATTGAAGGAAACACTAAACTTTGAAGTAAGGCAAGCATCGGCTCATAGTTTTGTGGGAGGTGAAGGGCCCATCTGCTATGAGTTGCTAAACGCAGACTAGATAGTCACGAATGTCGCTCACCTTTACGAACTCTCGCATAGGGCCAATGCGGTTAAAGAAAGACGGCTAGAACCACGACTTAGGCACCACAAAACGACAAAGCACGTCGGTTTAGACACCAATCAGCACCAGCCTCGCTTAGTTGGTTCTGGGTTGTTCATCAGTCGTACTCATGGGACTTTGCACCTTTTAGGGAAAATTGTGATTGAGTATGACCTAAAAACGGCAGTCAAAGATTACTTCGAATGCTTACTGAACTTCGGACAGAAGGCNGTGACTTGCTCAGAGGATATAGGAAGGCTGTCGATCCTCCTAATGAATAATTTTCAGTGTTTGACCAATATGGAAAACTCTAACGATGGAACCCAAATGACTTTCTTTTTGCAACAAACTTCCTTGCCAACCTATTCCCGCTGCACTCATAAGAAACAACGGCTACTGGAAGAATAAAACACTCAGAGAAGGGGTGGGGAGTGGGACAAAGATTCACATTGATTTTTATCACTTTCACGAATTCATAATTGGTGTATGGAGGAGTATTCAAAGTGGTACCAAGAAGACATTCACAATACATTGATACCTTATATCCTCCAGAAAACAACTATTATTAATAGACGTGTTATACACTCATGTGCCGGAAGGAGAAACCGAAATATATCGATCAGAACGTCCTAGAACAAACTAGAGTCCAGAAATTTATTTCCTTGGTGCGTATATTTCTTCAAACAATAACCGAACAACAACTCTATATAAAATGCATAACTGGATGACAGTATTCTTAGAAAAGCAACAGTATTATATAGTTTTTGCTATGCTGTCTAATTTGCCGGCACTGCTGGTTAGCCTTCTAGATGATCCGAGAGCAAATAAAGGGAGTAATAAACTAGAGTTCCTTTCCACACTTTTTTTGCAGTTCCACATACTTGTCCCACGATTGTACTGGTATGTTAGGTGGTGGCCTCCGTTCCTCCCATCGCTCAAATAAGTGACCCGCAAGCAGAGCGCCCAACAATCCCAGTGCCATCATTGCCACGTAAAGATCAGACTGTTTAACCATGTCTGGAATCATGTTAATAAATGTAAGATAATGCTAGTTTCCAAAAGGGAAGCATGACATAACGATGCCGTTTGTGGGTGCATTAATGGGGATTAAACACACTCGCAGAAATCTACAATTGGTGGAAATACTTATAAATAATGAGAAAACTTTTCGACAGATATTTTTATTATTGTTATCAAATATTTTGCCGTAGCAACGCCATGATGACGGCTCAGTTATCAAAATTCTTTCCCTATACATAATCTACATGAACAATTAGAACGTGGCTAGATGGGGGAATCGACAGAGTTTAATCAGCAAAAACTACCCTTCCCCATGAGTTTTCTTCGAAATGTACGCTTCGCATCACCTTGAGAGAGCGTTTCGAAAGTAGTAGAGAAATAAATATGACTTTACGTGGCGAGCGGAAGAGATCAATTATAAGAAGTGTACTGCATACAATTGTTAGGCATGAGAAGCTACGTGGAAAAATCCAGCTCTTGACATCACCGCACAAGACAATAGCAAGTTTCAGAAGCAAATCAACTAGAATTCTATCCAAAAACTCGAATCTGATCGTACCTTCGAATCAATCAGTTTCTAAAGCACAGTCAGTTACATCAGATTTCGTCCAGCGTTGTAAATCGCTCACACGTAACCTACTTCCCTGAAAGTTAAATCAGATCTTTCTGGAAACATGTTTTCAGAGTTGACTCCTATGTATGTTATGCGCCACCTAGGCCAAAAAAATACATTTGGCTATAGGGTGTTTTTTATTGGCCTTCAAAGGGAATGAACGATCCCTCATCATAACGACCGTACTACAGCGATCGAAATACAAAGAGTATAAAACATTTTGAACCTAGGAATCCGTTTCTGGAAAATATGTTTGTGAAGTTTTCTATATTTTTGTTTAATGCCTGGAATCGTTTATACTTTATCTAATAGTGGAATTGCAGAAGAAAAGATTCAAGAAATAAAAGAACAATTAGAGCTTACCGTCAACTGTCCAAACGATATTGAATCTTCAGCCCAATAGTACGTCTTAGAAACAGTTGGGAAGTGCTGATAAAGGTACTTTCTGAAATGACCATTTGTAATTATGAATGCACTTAGAGAAAAAGCAAAATATATAAATCAAGTACACGCTCACCTTGATTTCTCGCTTCGGCGAAGAGTGCAAAACCCTATAAAAGCAACGCCACAAGCTGCAAGCTCCAACACTGCCAGACTGTAAATGCTCTTCTTGACGGTAGACGCCAGCTCCCACCCTTCAACAAAATCTCTAATCACTGCCTAATAGCTAATGAAAAGCGCTTTGCAGGGTAGAATAATCTGTCGACGTAAGTTATAAAGTGTACGCAAGTACACTTCCTTCTCAAAGTAAGGTTGCAGGAATGTTGTCGACCGCGTGTGAACTCAGCGTTTTTGTCGTTTTCTCTGCTCCCTCTTCAGTAGGCATCTCACTTGCAGAGGATAGAGCGCAGACGGAAGAGGTNGTCATCCCTCATTGCTTATAACAATACAAACTGTTAGTTTCAGACTGATTCATTGTTGCTGCAGACTTTCAAATGGTGTTGTTGTGCTCTAGGCTTACTAGCATAAAGAATAAGTTTAGAATACTGAAAGAGCCTGGGTTTCCTGCAATACCGCACAGCTGTCGCAACGAGAATAAAGCTTCACATCTTTCAGATCACTCATTGCCCACTCCTTACAACCGAATATCAATTTGAATGGTCCTCCCATCTATTAGCGAGTGGACACCTTCCCTGACGGACACGACACGCAGAGACTGCTCCTTCGTCTAAATCTCTCAACGAGAGAAATTTTGGTTGACAACAGCCTTGTAACGCTAAACTTTTGCGTGCTTATTCAAATTCCTCATTTCGTTCTAATTCGAGGCAGCTATGCTGATTGAACTAGTGAAAAATGCGTGAGTTTTATCTTTTCAGAACTTCTGAGTAGTGCCTAGGGATATGGATCAGGGGTTTAGCAGCATTGTTTAGTATTCGCGTATTTAACACTTGAAAAATTGATATTAAGTGTCTAGTATCATGCATAAGGACAGCTATGACTGTGTATGCGGACCATTTTTTACTAACTGTTTGAAATATTCAGAGATGGTATCGGCGAATATATGATTATCGAGCTACAAGGCACAATTGAGAGCTGTGGTCGATCGCTCGAAAATGAAACACTAGGTTAGTAATTACTCTCTAAGCAGTTAAAGACTTTTGGAGGGAAGCATTTTTTCGTGGTTGATGTTTTGTTCGTTGTAACTTGTTTTCCCGTGCATTCAAGAACTCGGATACACTCCATGTGTTGAATTGAGACTTTTTTNTTTTTTACTCTCTCAGCGTTCGAATGACTTGCTGTCTTCCTAGGTCATCTTGCCTGGCGAATAGATAACTCTGAAGCATTATTGTTGATAGGCCACCATCTCCTTGAAGGCAAGGTAAGTCATCTGTCAAACTCCATGGTTTTTTCTTATTTAACTTTACTCTTTGCCGTGACCATTTGGACATAGTTACAGGAAGTTATATATAAAAGTTATGCGTGCGTGCTTATATTAGAAAATTATCCTCTTCAAAAACATTTGATGTTGGAATCCTTTCCCTTTCTTATCCTATCTGCGCAGCAGTATAAGTAGGACCCGTGATTTCATATGCATAGTTTCGCTCCACGACAGCTTTTCCAGCTTTCTTTTTTTTACGTTGGTTGTCACTTCGTTCTTCATAGTAGGTTTTCTTTATACCATCTACACTTTACTCATTTCTAAAAATGAGGGTATGCGCATTCAGCTTCAATTGAGATCACTTCGCGCCTCCACCAAATAGTTGATTGTTGAGTTGTCTGAAACACTCAGCTGAACTAATATATGTTCTATGAATTAAAAACATCGTTCCATTCTAAAATATTAGGGAGGAACAAGAAGGAAAAGAACGTCATATGAACATAAAGTGGGCGACGTTATAGTGTTTGAATATCGGAGTATCAACGAATTGACAAAAAAAAATCACATTACGAATAATATTGCAAACTGTTCCAACTTCCGCTTCTCGTCTGCAAGCAAACTAGTCGAGAGAAATGACCTTTCCTATATTTTTACAAGTGTTGAAAGATGTGGAGGTTGTACAGATTCAGAAATGTACTTCCCACGTTCGGTCCTCCTGAAACCTAGGCATGTCACATAATATTTCTCAATGCTTTGTGGTATAGGTTTTTTTTACGATTTAACCGTTTATTAGATTGACGTTTCGACTCACTCGTCGTTTCAAGGACCTGAAAGTAGTTCGGAGCTCTTGGTCTGTGGCTTACCTGACCAAGAGCCCAAACGCCCTAGGGCAGTTGCAACAACTCTCAGAAAGCTGAAACATTCCAGCAAAGAAACCAGCTTCGGTTCCACCAGCGCTGTCGTCCCATTGTATTTCGTGAACAACAAGCGAATAATGAGACATCATTGACGGTCGTTGGACAAAATTACGCGATGATCTCAAAGCCTACAAAAAGGGTGAATGCACTCATTTCGGTGGTTCAGGTTAGGAGTTTTCTCTCGGATGTAAAACGCTTCCATTATCTTTCTAGCGCCGATCTCCTTATCATGGCCTAGGATTTTGCATTTGATATCAGAAACTTTGCCCTGATTTTCTTATAGTCGATGCCTCCCAAGTGGCGTGGGTAGGTTTCCTCGCCTTTTACCTGCTAGATGTTTTTTGACGCGTACACCAATATTTCGTTATGGGCTGAACACGGAAGTTGGTATACCGTTCCTTGCTGTGTGCAATCTCCATTCCTTCCAACAGACAAACAACGTAGTTACCTGTCGCACATGCACGATCATAGACTCTGTTGCAAATCAGAAGACGTTTGATATTGTCTGCTGGTACCTTTATCAAGACATCATCATTAGCCAAATCCGCTCTTGCAATGCGCTGCCGTATTTCTGCGCTGACTTTGTCTTATATGAACGGTAGTCGAAGAGGCACCATATTTTATGATTTCCCAGCGAGTACCCTTCTGAAAGTCAGGCTCAAAAGGGTACTCGCTAAGAAATCATGACAATATGGTGCAACTCTGACTTCCGTATGTATCAGACAAAGCCAGCGCAGAAATACGGCAGTACATCACACGATTCGGCTAGTGATGTCTTGATAAAAGTACCAACAGGCAGTATCTTCGCAACAGACTCGCTAGAAAGATATTGGAACCGTTAAGGCCGCGTTAGGACCGCGAGAGGAATCCTAAGGTGATCAACCGAAATGCGCGCACTGCCATAACGAGTGAACTTCTGCCATTCATTCCCTTTTGTGGGCTTTTAGATCACCGCGTGATTCCTATTTCATGACCATCAATGGTGTCTCATTGTTCTTTTGTTGTTCGCGAAATAGAGTGTGACGACAACGCTGGTGGAACCACAGGAGGTTGGTTTCTTGGCAGGGATGTTTTGGTGTTCAAGTCCAGACCAAGAGCTCTGAACTACTTTCAGGTCCTTGAAGACGACAAGTTAGTCGAAACGTCGACCCAATAAACGGTCCGTCATAACAAACCGGTGCGGCAAAGCATTGCGAAATATTATCAGAAGCGTTGTACCTTATGATAACATCTTTATTTGCAAGTTTGTATCGAGTTCCATCTTCAACAATAATACATCATAATAAATGTTATTTTCATAAAATCGCATTTGAAGCATTGCTTAGCATAACGTCAGATTTAATCAAAATACCGGTAGACATGATCATCACTGTGATGCCCCAGGTTGTCGTTTCGCTGTGGAATTGTCTACGAAGTGCTAATTATGCCTTCAACTGGGTCATGATCAATATGGTCAGTTGATTACTGTCAGCCTCGTCAGAGAAAGTAAAAGACTGACTTTAACAATGAATGGCCTCAAGAATTCTTTTTCGTTCTCTCCCAATACTTCAGAATGCAACAAAATTCGAGTTTCTGATTCATAGAATCGATATTAGTTCAACAGTGTTTTAGACAGATCACAGTCAACGAGGTAGTGGAGATGCGAAGTGATCCAAATTGGAACTAAACGTGCATTGGCTCATTCTATAGATGCGCAGTCGAAAATGATCAAAACAAAGAATAAAAGAAGGAAAACTTAACATAAAGGCGAAGTGGACAACCAATGCTGAGAAAAAAAGTTGTGAAAGGCTTACGAGGAGCGAATCCATTCCTATGAAATCCCATGCGATTCACTCTAGTCAGTCTACGAAATAGGATAAAAGTAAGCGTGGTGTTACGGTGGTGCCGCTAGTCGGCAAATGCTGATTGCTACCGGTGGGGGGGTTACAGGACCGTTGACAACAGCATTCTGGTTGACAACAGCCCTGTAACTCCGGTGTAGAAATGAATAGCACCGTACTCACGCATTGCAGTAGCGTGTCCGTACGCTCCGTGTTCAACCAGGGCTAAGGGAGTTGAGTTTAACATTTTAAACCGGATAAAGTAACTACTATAAGTTAGAGTTACTGGACCCTCGAAGAGGCTATAGTTTACGAAGGAACGAGGTGCTGTCTGACGTAGTCCCTTTCCCTCGACATCTTGCTTGTCGATCCAAAGAGGGAGCTCAGTGAGAACTTTTGGCCAGTTTTGGAAAAACGGGTTCGGGACGAAGAGAGCATCGTGATTATTCTCTAGTGTCACGTCAGCATCAAAATGTACCAACGCAGGGTGGATGTTTCCGTGAAAAATTGACCGGTGTCCGTGCTTTGTTTGTTACATCAAGTAGGCATCAATTCCTTCGTATCTTGACCACTGACTGTGATTATTTCGTTATTCTACCTCATTCCATCCACATCCTCTTCCTATATCCTTACCATATGGGAGAGCTTTTTCTATCCTTCAAACCACTTAAAGTGGTAATTCTAGAAACCCCCCAATCAAATTTTTCGTCTTGTCCTCTTACAAAGTCATCATTCAGCTTGTCGAATTGGAAATGCCGTTCGCGGTGATCAGGCCCACAATGGGAGAGGATGCAGAAACTAATCAGCGATCAATGACAGTCGATGCCATAATAACACGCAAACTGGTGTTCAGGAATCGACCAAAACCCCTCATAACACAGCAGCATCTTGCAGAGTACTGACTTGAAATTAGGTGATTCCTTCGCTCCCGTAAATAAATGCTTCGCTTATTATTACTACTTGATCTTCAAAATGTCTTCACAAAAATTTGAAAGATCTCGATTTATTGTTGGAAAACAAAACAAATCAATGTAGAATGAAATTAGTCTTGCTTGTGAACAGTGATGCTGAGATCTCACCAACTTCCTTTCGGAAATAAGCGAACATCAAGTCAATCATTATATATACCTGAAATAGAATTTGGTCATCATTCAATCCAATACAGTTTTGATTACTAACTTTATTGTGGGCTCCACCTAATGACAGGCACGTCACCATATGTTGGTTTACCATACAAGAGATGCCGTTTGCCCAGAAAGTTTTGGTAGGCAAAGATTGCGCGTGAAATTGGCGAAGAAGTAGTTCAACTACATTTATCGCATCGCAAATGAATACATGCTATAAATCTTGAAGCCAATTTCTTTGGCGATTGTCCTCTCAATCTTCACAAACTAGGTAGTTTTTGGTTCGCGTAACAACAACTGAGTGATTAGATCCTTATATTTTAAGCAGATTTTTGGTGACCGGAATCGGTATTAATATGAGTGACACAAACGAAAAGAAGTAAAGCGTAAACGCACCTGTGCAACATTGTAAATCAGCGTTACAGCGAAATAGAAATTCGCATTACCCGAACCGGCCACGATCCACATATGCCACATTACTGGCATCAATATAACACATGTAACAATAGTTCCAGCGACGGTGAGAGTGTATCGTGGGTCTGTAAATTGAATTCATGAAAGCTCATGTTCAGGTCTACCTTGTTCAGGTCTCAGGAGTGTCGTAGCGGGAAAAGTTGGTGGTAACAAGAGTGAAACGATAGGCCTTTCTGATTGGTCAGTGCTTTTTAATTTTTCAATTCTTTATAGTACAAGGAAGATCAGGACCTTGATACATGAAGCAGTAGCAGGAAGCGCTCACTTCGCTCATCACTTAAGAGTTAACGTACAAGCGTTCTGATCATGTATTTTTCCGAGTCGAACCCCGTTGTCTTGCCTATGCTATATGATGCGCGAAAAACGTGAAATAAAAGAGGCCAGTTTGGTTTGCCGAGGACCTGCATCATTCGGGGCAGCCATTACAAGGCATTAAAATCGTGGAATGAAAGAAGTTCGTTTGTTCGATGGCAGACAATCAAAGATCTTTGATATTCTGTCGTTACAGAAATTTTAGACTACAGAATACTGTAAAACAGGTGAGTTGCCGATGAAATAGGAAGAGCCACAATCATTTTAGCTATTTTGTTCTTTGAGCACCTACAGTAGTGGACTGGCTTTGAGGTGCAACATGGTAGAACGAAAAGCAACCTTAAACAGCAGCAAGGTCGTAGTTAAGCTTATAGGAATGTGTACTCTTAGATCATGACGAGCTCTCTCTAAAATTTGAATAGTTCTTCGCTTAACACGTTTGTGACAACTTACACTTTCGATATTTCTCAAGCATGGGAAGAAGAGCCATGTAGACAGATGCATCATTCAAAGTGGGATAAGATGAAAATACTGCCACCAAAAGCAAACTGATCACAAAGTGAAGGTGAGCATCTTTCCTGAAAACCCCTTCTTTTGTGAGAGACCGCAATCAGGCTTCACGATGAGTTTACCTTAAGCCCAACAAAAGTGGAATCACATATACAAGTAGATTGATTTGAAACACCATCAAGTAGAACGTCCGGAAATGCTCGAACACTTGTGTGAAAAAGTACCACACAAGGCCGACATTAGGAGTAAGATCGTCCACACGTAAGCTGAAATCTCAGAAGCATGTAGACCATGATAAGCTCATCCTCGGCAATAAAATACATGCCAACGGAGTGAGCATCAGCAACTGGTAAACGCTGGGGACGGAACTTACGTGCGTCCGAGGATGCGCGCAGCAAATTGCGCGGCGAAGTGCGTGATGATTCGAACGACTCTGGCGCCTATCACTCGGGCCCAAATTTGAAGTACAGTAGTAGATTAGTAGTATCAGCTAGTCCTACTAATCTACTCTACTTCAAATTTGGGCCCGAATGATAGGCGCCAGGATGGTTCGAACCACCACGCACTTCGCAATTCGCCGCGCACATCCTCGGACGCACGTATGTACCCAAACCCGTAATTGCTTTCTTGCTCAAATAGCTTAGCGACCATGTGGCGGTTTGCAAACGACCAGTGCGCCAAACATAAACGTGATTGATCTGAATGAAGTACCCACATAAATCCGTACGTGTCGTCAATGAAATCCCAGTTCATATGATTTGAAACCCAGCTGGTGATTAACATTATTACAAATCCGAGTGCTAATCCACCAATAGTTAAGAGGCGGTTTTGTAAATATGGAAATCGTATCAGAATAGGCGCAACGATAATGATCGGATAAATGGAGAGACTTGCCGAAACACACAGGAGCATGATGCATGGGACAATCAGACCTGAAATAGCTGCAATTGATCAAATCAACTCCTAGTTAAAAAAGCCCCTATCATTGAAAATGCTAAATGTATATATTGATAAACATGAATTTACTCGAACTCAGCTTCGAANAGGTACCGTTGCGGACCGAGTTATGTTCGCCGAGCATGATCAAGAGATCGCACAGCTGTCAGCTCAACGTCTAACTCGTGCAGGCATCAAACACTGAGGTTAGCTGATTTACCTAATCTTTGTCGCTTGATACTGATTTGCAATCGTTGAAATTTATTCGAAGCATTCGCAAGGTAGAAGTGCTTCGACGAAAAGATTTGCAAACAATCGACTCACCCGAGCAAAAGAAATAAACGATACCGGCTATGATAAGGTTGTGTATTACCGACAGGCTTAGCACGGCCACAGAGGCGACAGGGATAGGGTTTAGAAAATAACTGGAAAATAAATACCGATCGTAATAATCAGTAATAAGGTGGGGTACGTATTGTTCAACTGAATTACCAAGAAAATTAGCGTGAAAAAAATGGTGAGATAGTTGAGATGATATACTTCGTCTATCTCGAAGTCGGACAGCGCAACATAGAATACCGAATAACTCTAGAAATTTTCTGAGAAGTTGAAAAACTGAATGCTCGTCCATTATTTTCCTTTATTAGCTGCTCATTCGTATTCTTCCCTATCGAATTCGCGACGTCACGGTATAGCATGCATCGATGCTTCACATTAACTACCTGAGGTACCGCTGCAAGATGCAGATAGCGGACGTTTCCAAAATGTTCTGCCTTTTGAATGTCTGGTACAACCAACACAGATCAGTCCAAGCGACTAAAAATGTCAGCGGCGTGTACGGAAAAGATTACATCGTTAGAAAACCCGTTTGGAAATAATTGACTAGTTTTCAAGAACATCATTTCGCGTATCTTAGTTGCGCAGGCCTCTGATAACATTACTGTTTCACGTTAACTCCTCGAAACATGAAAATTTACACGGAGAAGATGCGGTTGGATGTTTGATTTTGCTGTCACATTAAAATAATCAGGGGAAAGGTCATTCGGATTCAAGGCACCGTTAGATTTTTTACAACTCGGAGAACTAACCACTTGAATACAGTCCTTGAAACATGATGCGAATCAGCACTCCCATTTTCTTCAGCGTAAAGCCGAGCACTAACGGATAGTAGTAAGGCTGTCACACTATCGAATAGAACGAACGTCGCAAACGTGGTATTTTCGCTGAGGTCTACAAATGAGAATAAGCGTAGTAGGAGTGGCTGCTGAAAAAAGTCAGATACGTTCGCACATTCGTAACACTACTGCTGAAAGAATAGCTAGTGATTCATTGGCGTAGACTAAGATATCAAACGAAATTTCCATCTTGCAAAGTTTAAATGTTCAAAATAATTTGTTAGACTGTCTCGCAGTCCTCTTCATTTGCTTACTTTCTCCCTTAGTAAACGAATGGCATGCGAGACGTATATGACGTCTGTATTTCTGCTCCTTATTAGGGTCACCTCGCTAATAGGTGCATTGACCCTTTAGCAACAATGTGGATTTGGAAGTGACGCGCCCATGGGACCACGCCTCCCTCCTTCAAGCGCGACTGGCACTCACCTGTGGGTGGCACTGTCCCAGGAGAAAATTGTTCCATGGCTTACTTAATTTAGCAATTGGTAAGAAACAAGAAAGTATGGGTGCACCAAAATTGGGTGCTAATGTCCCATGAGATAGTCATAGTGGCACCCACCGGTGGGTGCTATTGTCGTCAAAGGGTTAATAGTGTAGTAAAAGCCAACTTCAACCCCTTTCCGAGCGTATTTCGCGAATTTCGATGTCATACAACTCTGTGGTCATCTGCAACTTCTTTGAGCGCTCTTAGAGTTTAGATCATGTCCGATTTCTTGTAGTGCTTTTTCGAAGTCCAAGTACATCTTCCATTCATATCCTACTCTATTCAATCGAAAGCGTGTTCTCCAAGTAACAATCTTTCCTGCTCACTCAGTACAGGCTGCATCTATTTTTCTGCTCGACCGTCACTTATCTGCTACAAGAAGGTCGTTTAAATGTCCGCGCCCTTTCTCTCTTTTACATACGGCCCATTTCCATGTAGTCACCCCTATTTTTGCTGATATTTTCCACAATTGCACCAAGGAAGGATCGTTCAATTAATGGATATTTGAACGGAGACCTAGGAATATCGACAGAGTGTTGAACGCTGTTTACGAATATGAACTTTCATGTCACCTGTCGTCCCACTGATCATCGTTTTTTCGAGCGGGAGCAGTAACGTCTCCAATCTTTCTTGTTGCGAGCGCCAAGTAGATCAGTGAATCGTTCTCTCTGAAGGGACACGAGGTGTAGCATTTCTTTCGTCTGGAGCTTTCATGAAGAAGCTTGACCACAGTGCCGTGTTCGTTTGAGATCGCGAGGGATCCCTTCAGTAAGCACCCTGGTCCAACGGTTATCACTGTATCGCAAGACGTCAGACCCACCTGATCTTCAGTTTTTTGAAGCAAGCAACGGTAAGGCTAATCATCGTTCGTTGACAGAGCTCGAATCAGGCATTCTTCTACACTTGCGTGTAGCTGAAAATCTTGCACCATCCTTTCTAAGCGCGTGAATAATGCTGACAGCTTGTTTATCTTGCTTTTGCGGAGTTCAAATCTTCAAGGAAGGAAGGATTGCAGTGTCCAAAAAGAGAACGCAGAGCCAGATTCATTGTCTACTAAACCACCCTTCGATGTTTTTGAATGCTTTTCATGCTCCTTTTCTACTGCTTAGCTCTGGAGCTAGGTCGTTCGCCATGTTGACTTCTCTACAAGATACACGTAGCCTGGGTATTCAGAGATATTGTTTCGTTCAGCGTAGAAGGTACCAATCCTTTTCTCATGACCATCGTCTTCGTTGAACTCATTTGTAAACTGGTCTTTCCACAAACGCTAAAAACCGGCCCGTGATCGCCCCCTGCTTGATGCTCTATATTATAGGCACGATATCGTCTGCAAAGCAGAAATGATGCAAGAAGCGACCGCCGACCTCATCTCCCAAGTCTTCCCAATCCAAGTGACACATGATATTCTCGAGAGCAACACTGAAAAGGTTTGGTGAGATGTTACCGCCTCGCCAAACCCCCTTCTCAACGTTTACAATAACTTCTCGTAGAATAGCGGAAGGCTGGTCGCGAAGTTGTCGTGGAGCTCACGAAGCATCTCTATATATTGTTTAGGGATACCCTGGTCGCCCAGGGCTTCGATTACCGTTTCTGTCTCGACGGTAAAAAGGGTTTCCTTCGAATCCATGACGTAAGCCATAATTTTATTCTGTACTGTCGCGATACTTCGATTGATCTTATTACGGTGTGGATATAATCGATTTAGCCCTCTCCGATACCTTCATGCTTGCGTCATTGGTCTTCTGGTATTCCGCCAACTCTATCAAAGGCACAGTTCACGATAATTTCGGATAATCCAGATTAAGACGAAAAAAGGGGAAGACATGAGAAGAGAATAAGATAGAAAATAGAACCTATCATAACTATGCAGTACACAGGGTATGTACAGATACGAGCTTTCTATGTATGGTGTCATGAGTATTGAATGGAGAAGTCAAGAATAAGGATCGATCACGGATGGAGTCTGGGGGCGTAATCAATCCTGTCTGAGCTGCGACGCATCCCTCAGATGGGATTGATTATCGTTAAGAAGTGGGCTGGACGAGAATGAGACCAGAAGAATGGAGAAGAATGGGGCGTTTGGAAGAGCTATACAATGTGTGTCAGCCCGCACGTGTGGGTTTTGGTGCGAATAGTTGACTACGCTAAGGGAAAATTCATTGACTAATAAGCAAAGTTATCAAGAAAGTTATAGTAGAGAGTAAAAGAATGGGAGAAAAACATCGTCTCATCTCTCGGCGATCAGCTGATCGTGTGTGGGTCCTGGAACGAATATTGCAATCTGTATCGCCTCGAAACTCGTTTGACGTGACATCTGTCTAGGGGCGGGAAGTTCGGCCGATCCATTAAAGGGGCTCCCACTATGCCCAAACTGTGAGTTTTGGGACTCGACAGCTTCCTATAACCCTTGCAGCACCGGGTATTTCTAGGGGGGGAGGGGGACTCAGAAGCCATTTTTATCGTGAACTGTGTTTTTAAGGATGGATCCTGTGGAAAGTTTATGGGATACCGCAGATGAAGTGATAGTGGGTATCTGTGTGTTTGTGTATATTTCCATGTGTGTACGTGTGTGCATGTGTGCGTGGAGTGTGAGTGTAAATGCGTGCGTGTAAATATGTATGTATGCGTGTTGCGTGTGTATGTGTCTGTGCTTATAGGTATGCATATATGTACTGTTTATGTGTATGTATGTATTTTCTGTGTGCGAGAGCATTATATTTGAAGTAATAACAACCGAAAATAAGAGGCAATGGGTATGTAATGTTTTTCGTATAAACAGTGGAACCTTAAAACTGTTGGTAGTGAAGGATGTGTCGGAATCATAGATGATGACCAGGACTAATAACAAGTGGTAAGGTTTGATAAGAGGCCATGGAAGGTAAGAGCTGCTGAGTCGGTTGCGCCCTTCATATTGATTGTGAAATTGACACTCTGAATAGTGGTGTGGGAACTAATAAAAACTGGCATGCCGTTCATGCAAGATCTCGCAACCCATTTCTACCATCTCGCACCGATAGATACCCGAAAAGAGTAAGATGAGTTTTACTGAATCAATGCAGGACGAGCAAATTTGGCTTTACTTCGAACACCAGGTAATTCGCAATTCCTAATTGTTAACTTAATTGTTTCCAAAAGCAGAATCGGGAAATTCCTTGCGTTCAGTCACTCAACGCATAGAGGATTCCAAATAAGTAGGAAATGAAAATGCTCGTTCCTCCGAGTGCAGCCATCCTTCGAGAGACCGTTTTCTGTGATGCTTCAAGAATAAACTCACTTGGGAGAGAGGATAAAAGAAATAATTGTAAGGGATTTTGTTATGGAACTGGTGATGTCAGAAATAAAACAGTATGGTTGCTTCAGTTGCTATTCATGAATTCCATTAAGCACTATTCGCAGCATCACATTCTTTTTGAAAAGTTTGATAAGCAAACGGCGTGAAAGTGTGTTAACTCACGAAGTGGAAGAGATCTCCTTGATATGGTGAAATTTCGTCCCTATACATTGCTATACCATCTTGAAGACGACGATATGACACTAGTGGTGATGTCAACTCCGCTCGTTTTAGAAGAAACGGCTGCATGTAGATGAAGCATAGAACGCGAAGAGTGATTCCTATTACCAGCGATCTGAAATTACTGATTTTAGCATGACTCGTTCAAAAGTGTTCAGAGTGATGATGCAGTTTGATGATGATGCAGTCTCTTCTCCATGATGCAGTTTTACAGACAATTTGCCATCTTTGGAGACTTTCGCATCGCGTAGTAATAGAATAGAAGTAAGAAGAAGAAGTATACGAAATAAAATAGAAATTAACATAAGGTCAAGACAAATTATACCAGAAACAACTTCAACGATTTAGTGCTCAACAAGATGCACGTGTTAGTGCTGGTAGGCTATGGCATATAAACCACTGAGAATACGAGGGCAAGCGGTGTATCGGTAATAAAAAGCACGGTGCCCAGATAGCACACGTGCGGATTCGAGTCCGGTTCGAAGCCGAAGTTTTGTCTACAACTCGCAATCCTTGGGAGATGATCTTTCTGGGAGTCGTTCGGAATACTTTTGTTCTGCTTCGCCTACTAGCACGCATGCTCCTTCTGACACAAGTTTGGCCACAAACCTGGATAGCATAGTCGCTGACAGGCTGAATTCCTACAAAAGTGAGAGGAGTAGGTAAGGAGGGAAGAAAGAGCTTGTGTTCAGTTAGTATTGGTCGTCCATCACCTGCTGGTAATTCTTGCCCCAGTTTTTTTTTTTTCTATGCAGTACAATACTGCTACTAATTTGTGGTCAACCGACGGTTTGCGACGGATTAGTCCGTCGCAAACCGTGTAAGTTAGATGAGCGGAAAGCCCTGCTCGTGAACAATTCAGTCATATAATAAAATTTTCGATTTTCTTGAAATTTTTGAATCCATTCTCAGGAAAAACGAAAAATGAGTCTCTCAGCACCTTAGGTGTTACTTGCGGATACAACACCATCGTAAACCCTCCAGTTCGACTGAAAACTTCGTTCTCAGTTTCAAAAGGCATGTGTGGCACAAAATTCGATGAGAGCAGAGAATCTCGATCATTTTGATATCATTCATGATACAATTTAAATATTTTCAGCTTAATTTGGTTATTCAAATTACCATTTTTCAGATATTTGATACTTTTTCAGCATAGTACATGCTGCTTTACAATAACTGTCGTAGTAAGTCATAAAATTATAAAAAAGTTTGAAGATAGAAGGCTCGATTGTATTCTAATTAACTTGAGGCGGTCGACCCCTCACCATCGATCTTTATTGACCCATGGCCATCGCTACTGCCGTGCCACTTCAAGAGTACGCCTTATAACAGACGATATTTAACACGCAGGAATCTTTTTTCGAATACTTTGTTGGAAACGCTATCACGACAGTTTTCTTTTTAAACCCCTCTCCACTATAGCTCTCCACTTCAAATAGTAACTTCTGTTTCAACATGTGGAATCACTAGTCCCTACCAGCATGTTTGAAGTGTTTGGGAAGCACTTGTTACGTGATGCCCATCAGAAAGAGACTAGGCAAATTTCAGCATAAGAATTGGATTTTTTATTTCTTCTGAATATTACGGTTACTCAAGGAAACGTGACCATTAGCTGATATGAAGTGCCATTAATATTCTATTTCATGCTGAATCCTTAACCATCTCTGAGGTGAAGAATTCTTATTTTCATTGAATAATAATTCATATAACATGTGTATATACAATGTACTATATGCATGTATGTACGCCTGTTAGTCAATAGTGGGGCTAGTAACTTGACCCCTCGTTATCGATCTCCCCAGAACTTAGTGATCCTGCAGGACCATATTTTCTTGAGCCACGCGAGTGCATTCAACTCACAGACGTATTGTACTGTAGTTATACTCAACATTATTGAAACCTTACATTACATTAAAAACAATTACAACATTAATCACTGAGATAGTGNGTCAATCATGTCGTAACATGACTCGACACGTCAGCAGTCGACCCGCCAACACTCTCACTGTCACCGCGACCAGCCTGAGCAGCTATCAAATGATTGGCCGAAACTGCTCATGTTTAACCGACCCAATGGCGCAGAGGGAGTGCTTGCGTCTTATGTCTGCTCTCGACTGGGATTCGTTGGGGTTCGGATCCGCCGGCATGCACAGTGCTTGCAAACGCTGAAACGACATTGTTAGCGAGCAATGTGCGCTTCTATGGGCTAATTGGGCCGATTCTTACGTCAACGCTCCCCAGTTCCCGTGAAATGGGGAGCTGGGGGGGCGATTCATAAATAGAGATTTTGAATATGGAAAACGTTCGGTTCCAGGCGATTTGAAGTAGTTTCATGTAAGTTTGGAACTCAAAGTCGAACAGCATTTGTTCCAGCGTCTTTCTGGCAGTTGCATACCACCACTTGTCACTAGGCGCGCTCTTGAATGGACACGGCAGTAGTGAAGGTAATGGGCCAATGGAGATCGATGGCGAGGGGTCAGTTAGTCTATGGACCACATAGATATCTAAGGCTGGACTAGTAAGAATTCGTTGAATCACATAATCGAAGCATTCAAATTAGTGGAAAACTAACTTGTTTTCCATGAAATGAACCTTTGGGAAGACCAGGAAAACTGCTTTCAGCTAAGACTGTTTAAATTCTATCATGAAAGGCATTAAAGTGAACAAGACCCCTTGCTCTCCTTAAATTTGAGCCATATAAGCCTATAAAAAGTGGGAACGAAACTTTCAACTGAAGTGGAGGGCTTACGATGGTATTATGTACGCAGTTAACACCTCAGGTACTTGAAGAATCTTTCTTCGATATTCGTGAAAATGAAGCTGCAAAATTGGAGGAAATCAAAATAATTATGATAAGGCCGGATCCCCATGAGCAGGGCTAACCATTGGACTGCCATTCAATATAAATGACTGGAAAAAGTATCAAATATCTGAAAAAATGGTAATTTGAATAACCGAATTAAATTGAAAGTATTCAAATTCTATGATGGATGGTATCAAAATGATCGGGATTCTCTGCTCTACTCGAATATGGTGCCATTCACGCATTTTTAGAACTGAGAATAAAGTTTTCAATTGAACTGGAGGGTTTACGATGGCCTTGTATCCGCAAGTAACACCCAAGGTGCCGAGAGGCTCATTTTTCGTTTTTCCTGAAATTAAAGGCAATATTTCAAGAAAATCTAAAATTTATTATATGGCTGGATTGTTCACGAGCAGGGCTTTCCGCTCATCTAACTTACAACTCGATTGGAGTGCCTCAGAAAAAGTTGTGGCGAAGCGACGGTTTGCGACGGATTAATCCGTCGCAAACCGTCGGTTGACCACAAATTAGTAGTAGTATTGTATTTCACGCGATGGGATAGGAAAAGAATTCGAGAGGGATTCAATCCCCTAGCAAAGGGTGCGGTAGCTGCGCATTTGTTGCTAACTTATCTTGTCTCAATGGTGTAAATGCTATCTATGCGTGAAAAGACTACTTATCCATCCAAACAGCATGCAAAACTCCTCTTTCTACATTCGTTTCAACTCGTACAGGGGGATGCCATTGTAGACGTCTATCCTATGTTGGATGTCTTACTTTCTCTAACTCAGAATTTTCGCACAAAATGAGAACCCTAGTAAGAGATCTAAGTGGAACTGAGGCCCGTTGTGCAAAAAAATTGGACATTACTAACAGCAAATTGTCAGAATAGACGGAGCACTAGTATAAGGCACCATAAAGAAACGCCTACGCTCTCATGACTTGTTTGGGGAATTCACGTAGCAGTTTTCATTCATTTCTATAATTTTAAACAGCGTTTGGAACTCGGATGTTATGTCTAGTTCTCCATTCGAGGTTATATGGGAAATTGCAACCCTGTTTTAAATCTGTCCAATTAAGAGAAAGGGATCGAACCTCATAGAAGTCACGATTTTACTTTGATATACTTTTCTATTTTTTTTTAAAAAAAAAATAAAAATAAAAAATAGAAAAAAATAGAAAAGTATATCAAAGTAAAATCGTGACTTCTATGAGGTTCGATCCCTTTCTCTTAATTGGACAGAATTAAAACAGGG